GTTGGTACTTTTATAACAATATTAATATCCTGTTTGTTATGGTATGTCCATTCATCCTCTTGACACCTAGAGGGGTGACACCTCTATCATGTCACGCCTAATTCTTCGCCTTTTTATATAATGTAATTTAAGCTTTGTCAATCTTCCTTCACATGACACGATTATAATTTGCAGGATTACTTAGCAAATTTCAGCTTGTTTGGCTGAAGGTATTGTGGAAAGTTCTTAAGTGCAAACAGAAAAAAAAACATTTAAAATAGTGCTCATTTGTTAGTCCTTATAAGTTATCTGTCTCAATTGCAATGAGAAGCCCACTATCTAGGGCTGTCAATCACCTTAAATTGGATATCAAGTCACATTGGCATAGATGGTAATGAAAAGGCAGACTCACTAGCAAAAACTGCCACTGCTCTACCTGTTGCAAAGGTTCCAGTACCTGCAAGTTTTTCACAGATTAAGGAGGAAATCAAGAAGAAATACTCCCAACTATCAAAAGTCACCACAGAGCCAAAGTAGCGGAAGGAAGATCCACTGCGATATGGTTGGACCAAGCCAATGGGTACTACTCTTTCAGGCATGACAAAAAGATACCCAGAGACATGGTAGTAGCTTACACAGACTCAGACTTGGTTACAAGTGCAGTTAGGAGGTAATAATCCCAATTGTCAGAGAGTGTCATATCAGTGGAACAGAAGCAGAGGCACTATTTCACTACTTACTGGAATGTGAAGCAACTGAAGCCCTACACATCTAATTAAACATTAATCCACGACAGCAGCTGAATTAGATGCACATTCCACAGCCACTACAATGATTAGAAAGCCATTATGAAATGTGACTCACTAGTATACATTCTTGACCTACATCCACCACCAAATATAATTATATATATATATATATATATATATATATATATATATATATATATATATATATATATATATATATATATATATATATATATATATATATATATATATATATATATATATATGCGAACAAGCCTGAATGGTCCCCAGGACAATATGCAACTGAAAACTCACACCCCAGAAGTGACTCGAACCCATACTCCCAGGAGCAATGCAACTGGTATGTACAAGACGCCTTAATCCACTTGACCATCACGACCGGACATAATGAGGTGATAGCCGAGGCTATTTGAACCACCCCACCGCCGGCACTCGGATAGTAATCTTGGGCATAGCATTTTACCAAATCACCTCATTCTTTGGGGCACACGTGAGGAACACAAATGCGAACAAGCCTGAATGGTCCCCAGGACAATATGCAACTGAAAACTCACACCCCAGAAGTGACTCGAACCCATACTCCCAGGAGCAATGCAACTGGTATGTACAAGACGCCTTAATCCACTTGACCATCACGACCGGACATAATGAGGTGATAGCCGAGGCTATTTGAACCACCCCACCGCCGGCACTCGGATAGTAATCTTGGGCATAGCATTTTACCAAATCACCTCATTCTTTGGGGCACACGTGAGGAACACAAATGCGAACAAGCCTGAATGGTCCCCAGGACAATATGCAACTGAAAACTCACACCCCAGAAGTGACTCGAACCCATACTCCCAGGAGCAATGCAACTGGCATGTACAAGACGCCTTAATCCACTTGACCATCACGACCGGACATAATGAGGTGATAGCCGAGGCTATTTGAACCACCCCACCGCCGGCACTCGGATAGTAATCTTGGGCATAGCATTTTACCAAATCACCTCATTCTTTTGGGCACACGTGAGGAACACAAATGCGAACAAGCCTGAATGGTCCCCAGGACAATATGCAACTGAAAACTCACACCCCAGATGTGACTCGAACCCATACTCCCAGGAGCAATGCAACTGGTAATTTGGTAAAATTTGGTTACCAAAAGTGATTTGGTAAAATGCTATGCCCAAGATTACTATCTGAGTGCCGGCGGTGGGGTGGTTCAAATAGCCTCGGCTATCACCTCATTATGTCCGGTCGTGATGGTCAAGTGGATTAAGGCGTCTTGTACATACCAGTTGCATTGCTCCTGGGAGTATGGGTTCGAGTCACTTCTGGGGTGTGAGTTTTCAGTTGCATATTGTCCTGGGGACCATTCAGGCTTGTTCGCATTTGTGTTCCTCACGTGTGCCCCAAAGAATGAGGTGATTTGGTAAAATGCTATGCCCAAGATTACTATCCGAGTGCCGGCGGTGGGGTGGTTCAAATAGCCTCGGCTATCACCTCATTATGTCCGGTCGTGATGGTCAAGTGGATTAAGGCGTCTTGTACATACCAGTTGCATTGCTCCTGGGAGTATGGGTTCGAGTCACTTCTGGGGTGTGAGTTTTCAGTTGCATATTGTCCTGGGGACCATTCAGGCTTGTTCGCATTTGTGTTCCTCACGGGTGCCCCAAAGAATGAGGTGATTTGGTAAAATGCTATGCCCAAGATTACTATCCGAGTGCCGGCGGTGGGGTGGTTCAAATAGCCTTGGCTATCACCTCATTATGTCCGGTCGTGATGGTCAAGTGGATTAAGGCGTCTTGTACATACCAGTTGCATTGCTCCTGGGAGTATGGGTTCGAGTCACTTCTGGGGTGTGAGTTTTCAGTTGCATATTGTCCTGGGGACCATTCAGGCTTGTTCGCATTTGTGTTCCTCACGTGTGCCCCAAAGAATGAGGTGATTTGGTAAAATGCTATGCCCAAGATTACTATCCGAGTGCAGGCGGTGGGGTGGTTCAAACAGCCTCGGCTATCACCTCATTATGTCCGGTCGTGATGGTCAAGTGGATTAAGGCGTCTTGTACATACCAGTTGCATTGCTCCTGGGAGTATGGGTTCGAGTCACTTCTGGGGTGTGAGTTTTCAGTTATATATATATATATATATATATATATATATATATATATATATATATATATATATATATATATATATATATATATATATATATATATATATATATATATCGTACCTAGTAGCCAGAACGCACTTCTCAGCCTACTATACATGGCCCGATTTGCCTAATAAGCCAAGTTTTCATGAATTAATTGTTTTTCGACTACCTAACCTACCTAACCTAACCTAACCTGACGTTTTCGGCTACCTAACCAAACCTAACCTATAAAGTTCGGTTAGGTTAGGTTAGGTAGGGTTGGTTAGGTTCGGTCATATATCTACGTTAATTTTAACTCCAATAAAAACAAATTGACCTCATACATAATGAAATGGGTAGCTTTATCATTTCATAAGAAAAAAATTTGAGAAAATATATTAATTCAAGAAAAGTTGGCTTATTTGGCAAATCGGGCCTAGCATTGTAGTATATATATATATATATATATATATATATATATATATATATATATATATATATATATATATATATATATATATATATATATATATATATATATATATATATATATATATATATATATATATATATATATATATATGGGTTTATTTAAAATGTGAATCAGTTTTCTAAAAAAAAAAAAAGCAATTAAAGTTATTAATTTAATATTCTTGTATCTTCAGGATTTTAGAGAGACCACCTATCATGTCCCAGTTTATTTACTCAAAAGCAGAGGAGAGTGAAGAAGAGCAAGAAGAATAAGAAGAAAATGAAAGGAAACAATTGAAAAAACTAAAAACTGCTGTAGCTGACTTTTCGGAAGAGGTTGACGACGATGGTAAGTGGTGCAAAAGTTCTCAGTGTTTCCACGCCTTGGTGCTTAGTATGTATTTGATTCATCCATACCTGAAGAGGTTCTGGAATTGCAACTCCCCAAACTCAGTTCGAGGCCAGGATTGAACTGTGAGAGCTTGGTCCAACAGGCTGTTGCTTGGGCTCAGAAGCTTCCCAGTGCTGAGTTATTATGCAATAAAGCCTTGCATTTATGCTTCCAAGTTATTATATCATAAAGTCTTGTTTTTGTGCTTCCTAGTTATTAAACCATAAAGCCCTGTTTCTGTGCTTCCAAGTTATTATACCATATATGCCATACCTTGCTTCTGTGCTTCCAAGTTATTATACCATAAAGCCTTGCTTCTCTTCTTCCAATTTAATATACCACAAAGTCTTGCTTCTGTGCTTCCAATTATACTATAAAGCCTTTTGATATATGCCAGTCCTTTAATACTTCAAAAGATGAAGGGAGTGCTCTACATATGTCAGTTGCTTAATTTAAAAACTGCAACTGTGGTCGTTCTCGAGCCTGTTTGATTATTTAACTAGCTCATCAAGATTTTAATTTACTTTGCTAAATAAACTGTAGGATTAATTCCTTAAGCCAATTATGTGCCTCTGTAGCCCTTGCCACTACACCTTTCCCACAAAATGAGTAAGGGATGCATAGTAAATGAACTAAACTAACTAAAACTAATATGAACAACAAAATAAGAGAAAATAAGTTTCATGTCACTCATCTCTGGTTATTTATTGACAGATGAAAAGAAAATTCGGGAAGAAAATAAAGACTTCATTAACGACGACGATGAAGAGGATGATGAAGGAGATTCGGGGTCAGACAGTGAAAACTATGGCAAACGAAAACGGCGGAACGACGATGATGACGAATCATCATCATCATTCTCTCATAGTTTCTCAAAATACGCTAATGCTCCTGTCACACCTTCAGATCAGACATCATTCATGACACCGTATGCCATCCCGGGACCATCCACCATACCGCGCTATAGTGGATCACAGACACATATGCAAACAAATCCAACGCCCTCACATCAATATGAGGGTGCATATTCTCAACATATGATGACCAAAGCAACTGAAAACTTTCCTCAGCCATCTCGCGGTGGTCCCCCAGTCAGCAGCCAGGATATGGATTGCAAAATGGCAGCAAATGCTTTGGTGGAAGTTATCGGTGAGAGTAATGGACGTAATAGACGAAGGATGACTCCACAACGTAATAATGGGAGCAGGCAGTCAACTCATCGGTACTCTAATAATTGTGACTCTAGATCCCTCTCTAGTCTAATATATCCTGACGATGGATCTCGCAATACTCAATATGATGACCGCAGTCCTCGCCATTCTCCACGATATGATGACCGAACACCTCGTTATACTCCACGATATGATGACCGAACACCTCGCCATACTCCACGATATGATGACCGTACACCTCGCCATACTCCACGATATGATGACCGTACACCTCGCCATACTCCACGATATGATGACCGTACACCTCGCCATACTCCACGATATGATGACCGTAAACCTCGCCATAATCAACGATATGATGACCGTAAACCTCGCCATACTCAATATGATAACCGCAAACATCGCCATACTCGTCAATATGATGACCGAAAACATCGCTGTACTCGTCAGTATGATAACCGCACATCTCGCCATACTCCATGATTTGATGACCACACATCTCGCAGTACTCTTCAATATGATGTCCGTACACCTCGCCATACTCCTCAGTATGATGACCACACGCGTCGCAATTCTAAACGATATGATGACTGCACATCTCGCCGTACTCCTCAATATGATGTTCACTCAGCTCGCCCTACTCCACGATATGATGCTCACACACCCAGTAATGACCACACACCCACAATACTCCACAATATGATGACCACACACCCAGCAATACTACAATATGATGACCACACACTAGCAATATCAATATGATGACCACACACCTAGCAATACCACCACAATATGATGACCACACACCCAGCAATATGATACACCTAGAAATACACAATATGATGACCCACACACCTAGCAATACCCCACAATATGATGACCACACACCTAGCAATACTCCACAATATGATGACCACACACCTAGCAATACTCCACGATATGATAACCGCACGCCTCGCCTCTTCCATGGTTAAGACAACTCACACTCTACTCAGTCAGTTTGTTCACCATCATTCATTCACCCCCTAACATGAGCACTACCCTATGATGAAAAATGTCATGTATGTCTTTGGTAGTGTAATCTCACTACCTTCAAAGTATATGTATGTAAATATAATTTGTACAGATAAAGAATAAGGAACTGTATTTAATCATTACAATAGGAACTGTAATTTAAAAATTTATTCACGTAACAATGGGATTGTTACCATTGCAGTCTTGAGTATAAAGATATAGTTTTCTGTACTTACATTCATCATAATGTTTTATAGCATGTGAACATCATTTTATAATTTTGTATAAAATCTTAACTTTTTTTATAAAGAAATGGAATGTGTCTCATACGAGACGCCGCATAACTCTTCCAAATTGGATTTGTTCCTTTAACTTCATGTTTTCAACTTTGAATGACTACCACTGTGATCTGTGAAATGTTGCTGTGATTTGAGAAATACATTTTAGACAACACACTTCTATTTGTTTATTTTTATCCTGTATTTGTTTTGAATGATAAATGATGCTGATGTTAGTTTCTATTATAAATTGTTGGTGGACACATTGGAGAATGTTTTCTTGAAATAAATCTGCAGCTGATAACTGGGAGGCCGTGAGTGACTAGTATCACTCTGCCAAGCAAAGTAGTGCCTTCTGAGCTGGAGATTGTTTAGGAATAATGTGTATTGGAATAGCAAAACTATGTGAAGGAAAAATGGAATCAATCAAAAAACCTGCATGGGGAATATGGTAAATGAATTCAATAAAGGGTTTGTTTCGAAATGTAAAGTATAAGAGTATTAAGAGGCGATGACTCAAGAGTGCCAGATGTCATCTTTGACCTGAGGAGAGGTGGAACGTTGACGACCAGACCTTGTTTACAGAGTTTTCTTCGGTTGTTCAATCAGATAAGCTATAGTTTAATTTTAACAGGGTTGCTACACGGAACAAGTTCCCAGTAGCATGGGCTATGGAGAACCAGTAACTTACCTAGCACAGGAGCGGGTCAAGTAGCGTGGGCTTTGGTAAGCCCGTAATGGACTTCCCTGGCACAGGAGCAGTGCTGTGGCTTTGAGTGGGGAAATGAGGAGAGTTTAGGTTTCTTAGTGGTTTATAAGTGTGTCACCAGTTGACCGGAGTGCTGGCTGAGTGCACAGTTCCAGTTTTGGGACTAAGAGCCATGGGGTGTCCAGAGCCCTTTCGGGAGTTTTATTAACCAAGTTGTTACCTTCAGATAGGCCTTGAATTGTAAAGAGTACAAATTATGACATGTATTATGTCTTGTATAATAATATATATAAATATACATATAAATCTTTGTCTCATGTACTTTGCTCTTTTCCTTCTCCTGGAATTCCCCTTAGCACATTTAAATCTTTGTTTTATGTACTTTGCTCATTCCCTACTCCTTGAACACCCCATGGCTCAAGTTAAAGATTCTATTCCCCTATCTCGAGGTTATCTTGAGATGATTTCGGGGCTTTAGTGTCCCCGCGGCCCGGTCCTCGAGCAGGCCTCCACCCCCAGGAAGCAGCCCGTGACAGCTGACTAACACCCAGGTACCTATTTTACTGCTAGGTAACAAGGGCATAGGGTGACAGAAACTGTGCCCATTGTTTCTCTCCGGCGCTAGGGATCAAACCCGGGACAACAGGATCACAAGTCCAGCGTCCTGTCCGCTTGGCTGACTGGCTCCCTCCCTCCCTAGACAACATTTAAAAATTTATGACCACATACCCCCTAATCATGACAGAATTGGGGGCCTGTCCGGGAGGACCTTACATATCGGCAAGTTTTCAGAAAAGTGGCTAGCCTATATGTGAAACCTGACATAAAAATTGTGAAGCCTATGCAGATCAAGTCACAATATCGTTGTTGAAAAATGTTTGACCAAAACACACACTAGAAAGTGAAGAGATGACGAAGTTTTGGTCTGTTATGGATCATTATCAAGTCGTTTGTGACAATCGATTGGTCACAATCGACTTCATTGACTGACTCGACACACTAGAAAGTGAAGAGATGACAATGTTTCAGTCTGTCCTTGACCATTATCAAGTCAATTGTCACCATTATCACAAACGACTTGATAATGATCAATAACAGACAGAAATTTTGTCATCTCTTCACTTTCTAGTGTGTGGTTAGGTCAAACAATTGTTTTGCTTATTTCTTCACTTTGACTTGTGTAGAAATTTACAATATTTTAAATAATGGTAGAAAATGAGTTTATGTATTCTATTACATATTGTGTGTAGATTTTACAAATCTTTATGAAATTGTATAAAAAAAAGAATTGTGGTCTCACGTGCAAAAATTTGCCAGTTGACAGGACAGTCAAGTGAACTAACACTGTCCCCATCAGTTTTTCGAAACTAATTCTGAGCTTAAAAGAGAAAGGTGGCGCTGAAGCATTAAATTTGTTTTTGACTCTGGTTTATCTTAGGACAAACAATAGATTTAGTAGCACAATAAATTGTTGACAATCCTAGTGTTGAGGGTTTGAAAGCAGCAAAAAATTCTATCTTAGTGGCTGTTGGCAAGGACTGTGAAATATTATTGCACATGGAAATGGTGAAGAAGGACTGCTAAGAGAGGTAATGGTGGACTGGGTAGATTAGGAAATATTGCTGTGGTGCACATGATGTTGAAACAGGCAATGTAAAGACTCAGACACAATGGCATTCAGAATTGGAACTAAAGGAGTTGCAGTTAGAGGCAGAACAAGCTCAGAAGAGGCTAGAGGCATGGCAAGAACTAGCTATGAAGAGGTTAGAAGTGGAGCAAACTCAGAAAAATTGGAGTGAGAGAATTCTTTCTAGCAAATTCGTAGTTTTGCTAGCCTAAGCTAGCAAAATTTAGAATTTGATCAGAAAATTCCGGTGTTGTTGACTTAAGAACATTTGGGCAGTTAAAGATAAACAAAAATGTCAAGTTTCCTCTATTCTGTGAGACTAATCCAGATCAGTTCTTCACTCATTTTAAGAAAATATTACAGTATGGAATGGCCTGAAATACAATGGGTATCTTTTCTTCAAGGTCAGTTAGTTATAAAAGAAACCGGATATTTGCCGCTATTCCTTTGATTGACAGTTTTGACTATGTCATGGGATAGGCAGCCATCCTTCTCATTACCTTGTTCCTGAGGCTTATAGGCAAAAGATTATATAGCAAAAATAATGGGGAAAAAGGCACTTGCCATAATTCATTTTGGAGAGTTTACAGTGTGCAAATGGTTGTGGCATGATGTTAAAAATTTGAGGGATAAAGGAGCATCCCAATCTTTACTATTAGAGTGTTTTACAATTTATACAGTCTACCTCCTTATTACCTCTCCAGTATTACTGGGGAGGTAATAATTATGTGGGGAATAACTGGAGATTTCCAGAATGTACCCTTGAGGGAAGTAAATCTTGAGTGTAATTTATTAAACGCAAACATTTAGTAGGTTTTATATAGTCCTAAATTATCAGTTGCTGGCGTTTATATAATTAAGGGGAATGATTTTGCTGGTAATCGAGTTAAAAAGAGATGACCACCCAATAATGATCAACTTGCTTCTTAAAAATAACGTCTGGATTCGGCCGTTTGTCCGTACGGCCGAAAAGGAACGTTATTTTTGTATATTACGGATGTTCTCAATATGCAGCTTCCAGGGGCTTACTCTCATTATACCACATAAATATCTCACTATTATTAATCTATAAATTACTAACTATGCTCTGATATATGTTCTTCAATTAAAAATACTTATGTTGTTTGCTTAATTAGTCCATAATGAAAGGATTTCCTTGTTGCTGGTCATTACAATTTTCACAGGATTTAAATAGCTTTTGAAGTAGCATCTTGTCAGAAAACAGTAATTTTCCTATGGAAAATCTCGATAGCTGTCGTCAGTTAATAATAATTATTTAAGGACTAATAAATAAGTAAATAAATATGCAATTGTTTATGTTACGACTTTGGCAGGTAGGCAGTTCCTTCGGTGTACAACTTAATGGTTTAGAAAACACTATTTTTAATGTATAAGTGACTAAGTATGCTCTACTCTAAGTATATATGCTCTGACATATATTCTTCAATGAAAATTGTTTGTTTTGTTGTTAATTGGTCCATTTAGAATAAGATCTCTTACTCTTAATCTTTATATTAATGAAAACATCTAAGAAATTTAGTATTGAGTTTTCGTTCAGATAGTTTAGTTACTATTTCCTGGTTATTATTTAATGTAGGTGTCATTATTTTACTGTTATGTAAGTAGATATTTAACATTATGCATTCATAAACGAGGACAATTTGGTGGTTCAACTGCTTCATAATTATATAAAAATACATTGTGAAAACTTCTGTATAATCAAAATCAGAATTTTGTGACAACCCCTAATAACCTGCTGAAATCACGCCTCTTCGCCTTTTTGC